AAGGACGAGACCGTCTACTATCCTTTGGAGAAGAAGGGCGTGCTCCCGCCCGCGCTCCCAGTTGCTCCCGAGGTGTGCCTCTCCGTGTATGCCCCCTCGGTCTCGTGCGCCCAGTCGCGTAACAACCAGCACGCAAGGCCCTTCTGGCAGTCCGTTTTACCCGCGCGTATGCTTCAGCAAGAAAGACTGATTGGCGCGGCGTCGTTTGCGACTGTCGGACATGCGGACACGGTGGATGTTAGGCACTTTGTGCTCCCCCCTCATCACAACCGCTACGACAGGGCACCCAGCTACTTCCAGATCCCCCTCGCCCGCTTCCCCGAGTCTCAGCTCAAGCCACAACGCGTTACCGTCGACGCGACGCGAGGGCCTGGACTGCGCACGCTGCCAGTGCCGGCGTCGGGCACTCCGGCGGAGTTTGTTCAGGAGGTGGCAGCAACGGCGCATGTACCAGCCCTGCTGTTGTTCGCGCACGAGGCGGCAGATGTACTCGATGCGAAGGAATGGGTGGATCTTCTTAGTGCCTGGCGGAACGACAGCCTCTTTGGTTATTCACTGTGGTGAGTGACGTCGAATCTCTGGCTGGTTATCGTGCCAACGACGGGGCAGCGCGACGCACGCACTGAAGCTGGGCTTCGACACTACCCGATACGGTGCTCACGGTGTAGACTACATACTCGCCGTCCGTTTGGACACACTGCGCGCTGCGGTCACCTGGGAGCGGGCGCATCCGAGTGGCGCGCTGAACCTGGATATCCTAAGCAACCAGCTCGGCATTTCTCAGGACGAGGCAACACGGATGTTGGAGATCCGGGTGAGGCTGGGCGGGCGGACAGGCGAAAACCGTCCAAAGACGGGAGGGAGAAGCCACTACCCGGGCGACGCGCTGCCATTGGTCAGGCATTGGGAGGCCTAGAGACGCTGGTGTCGGAATACCTTCTTGGAATCGCGCATTTGGCGTCGTTAGTGATATCAGTTTTTTGCGGCCTACATGGCGTGTAGTAGTGGTAGTACTATCTCTATCTCGAGTGTGCGTTGACGCAAAGTAGACACCGTGTTGGAAAAAAAATCAAGCACATACCGTATGAGATGACTTGGTCCCGGCAAAAAAGGGCAAAAAGCCGATACCGGAGTGATTCGAACACTCGTGTGCAAAGCACATCGCCTGGATGCAAATTATAGCAGGGCGACCCGGTAACCACTGCGGCACGGTACCTTGGGGAGCATAAATTAAGAGCATTTAGAGGATAAGAAGCAGGATAAATTGTCACATGCTTCAGCTTTACCAGCGCATTTTGCAATCAAAAAAGGAGCCAAGTATTGACTTGGTATACAATGCCCTGTGTGGTTCCGGCAGCACACATGAGAAACCTTGAGGTACGCAGATCAGCAACTGCATGGCCGCACTTTACATTGATCTGGAAGACGCGGACTGTGGAGCAGATATTAATACGAGGTTCGCCAGCACGTTCTTCGTCGGGTAAGTCCACTTACTTGTGCAAAAGGGCGTTCTTGGAAAAAAGGTGAGGGAAATGACAGAAAAGATAAAAAGACACCGCCGACACTAAGTACGTTAATCGAGTTCACTAGCCATCTCCACAATCTTGATGGAGCGCGCGCTCTGTCGAGCAAGCGCCAACTCTCCTACTACGCGACACCTCTAATATACAGGCTACTTTACATCCGCTCCCTTCGTCGTTTCCCCTCTACGACTGAGTCTGATACATACTTGACAAAAAAATGCCGGTCGGGCTTTGCAGCGAGGTGTGCCATGGAACTCACTAGACTAATCCCCCAACGCCTGGTACTGAAATATAGCAGGGCGTCGCCTTAACCACTCGGCCAAAGTGTCGTATATACAGATATCACCTCCTGGGAGTGTGAGAGAGAGAAAAAAGGTGAGAGCGAATGGTTCAGATGAAGAAAAAGGCAGGCCGAGTGAATTTGGGACAAAATGTATTTTTGAGTCCTAATTCTCGGGTCTGTCCAGATGGATCAGACTCAAGCCAACAGTGAGGGAGAGTTGAGAAGAGCCAGAGGATCGGGAACGACAATGGAAGGATGAGCTAGATGGTTGGAAGCTGTTTGTGTAGTAGTTTGGAATGCATGATGGAAAGGTGGAGGTCGTGGGATGTGTGATGGGGACGGACTTGTGAAGCAGTGGAGTGAGACGAAGGGGAGAATGAGTGCACGGTGGCCCGCAGGCAGGAGGAGGGTGGATGGTCGTAGAACGGAGGTGTTGAAGTCAATGGAATGATGCGGTGGGTAGACCGAGGAACGGGACAGTGCGGACTGAATGGTTGTGCCTCGGCGCGTAGCGGGCGTGATGCTTGTTGTGCAGCTGCATGTTGTGGTCGACAGTACATCCCGAACGTGATGTGGAGCGGACGCGGTGCGGGCGCGCATGTGGGAGAAGCAACGGGCACGAGACGGAGTCGTTTAGGCGAAGGGTGTTGATTGAGATACGGTGCGAGTTGAAACATGTGTCTGTACGCAAAGCGAGAAGCGGTGTCGGCAATGGCATCTTCTTTCGAAGAAAGCCATGTTGATGCGAACGTGAAGTCGAAGCGACATGACAGGGCAGGAAAGTGCCGGAGGAGGAGGAGGGTAGGAGGGGAACGTATGAAAAAGGTTGTGAATGTATCGAAAACATCAATATGAAAGATGATGTGCTTGCCCGTTATTCTGAGTGAATTCCTCTCCAAACAAAGTCGCCTGGTGCTGCTTTATCAGCGAAAGTGCCGACACCGAGAGTGAATAAACCCACCCGCGTCCAAGGCATGGTGCGTCTGGTGGCCCTGGTTCATGCCTGCCTTGACCGCGATGTACAGTGTGCTGTTGTCTGTCTAGGAGCTGCGCATCGACGCCCACGCCGCTGTCAAAAAAGTGGTTGAGGGGCTTGCCATTCCATGCTGAGACCGTCGGGTCGTGCCAGAACATGCTCCACGACTCCGCGGCGTCGTACTGTTCATACTGGTACAGCGCATACTGCAGCTGGTCAAACACACCACGTAGAATCGAGAACTGGTTTGGTCTGTGGTCGTATTTGAAGAGCAAGGTCGGGCCGGTAACGTACATGTGGAAGTCCTCGATGCAAACCAGTGGCAATCAGGAGCGAGGAGATGGTGTCAAAGCACCAGTAGTTCGCCATCTCGGCCCAGGTGCCGTTTTCGGAGATTGACTGGGCACAGTTCGCGGTTTGCATTGCCGAGTGTGGCCTGAGATACACGATGAATGAAACGCAGCACATATGACTGCAGCTTGAGTTGACGGCAAGCCCTTGAATTGAGTCCTCTCGATGTCGCTTGAAGCACACTCAAGGCTTGAACTTGAGACTTGATGGTTTGGTTCGTAGCTCGAGATTGGATAGCTGCGGAGTTGGATTTGAAGAGGCGGGCAACTGAAACACTGCCGGGGCTTGAAGGAAAGAAGATGGCAGCTGGCGACCACAGCTTGCTCTCTCTAACAATCCAATACTTGAGTGGCGTTCAACGTTTGAACTTCGAGCAACAGAGAGTGGAAAATATAGAACACTTGAGATTACTTATGGGCGCGGGCGTGGCGTGGGCTGGTGTTCATCATCGCGCGCAGTTCTTTAAATGAATCATTGTGTTTTCGACTTGGACAGAGACTATAGAGGTCTCAGCATAGCTAGATAGTAACAGTGTTTGACCCTGAGCCGGAAGTAGGATAATGGCAGAATTACTCCACAGCGAGCAGAGACGTGGTCCGCAGTTAACCTGTAATCAGTTGCGATAGCGTGGCTGTCAATAATTACGAGACCCACCAAACTGTCTGGGAAACAAAATGAGTCTAGGACGACGTCGACGTCGACTCAACTCGCGAGAATGAGCTGAAGAATGAGGCGAGGCGCCGGTGGCCGCGTTGACCCAAGAATGGACATGTTTTGAGAGCTGGCAAGAAGGAAGTCACTGGCCCCTATTTGAAAGATCTTCAAGATGCGCGTATTACCCACCACCCACGGATGGCGACGACGAGAAAGGCAGCCATACCTCTACTTGATGAATAGAGCAGGTGTTGTGAAGACTTCGGCGTATCTTCCCGCATTCAAGCCCCCAGTTACCCAACCGCATCGCTAAAGGAGCAGAACCTGCTCAAGCGATTAAAACAGGCGACAGATGCGCTGGCTTTGATTTGTGTGTCGGGAGAGGGTGTGCAATGCGCATGTGGAATCGAGGGAATCTCCGATGGAAGTACAGGTAGGATGCGGTACTTGTTTGCGGCTGGCGCAGGACGGAGGGGTGTCTCAAAGCGACCTTGACGGCGTCCAAACCATTCTCGAAAAGGCTGCGCAGGCTGTGGAGAAAACGAGTGGTGAGGAATGGCGGAGGGCATAAAAAAGTACGCCATCCGCTTCTCTACGCGCCCGCAAGGAATCATCAGGTTCCCAGGTAGAGACATACTAACCGTCGTTGACCTGATGGTGCTCCCGCTTATCATAGAGCGCTGCAGAGCCCAGCTTTCCGCCGCCTTTTCGAGTAGCGCGCAACCCGCGACTTCGACTCTTGGGCAGCAGGACTCGACCTCAAGGCCATACCACGACTGTGCCACAAGCACATCCACAAGTGCATATACACGCCCTGCGCATGATCGAGCCGCGAATCAGCGTCTAGGGCGCCGGTTCCGATCCTAAACCTAAGACAAGAGCACTAAGTTGAGGAGTTTCGAACAACCCGGCGGCGTATAAGGATCCGGAAAAGAAAAACAGGTGGGCGAGGTGAACGTGCAGCCATGGTGATCACTATGTCGTCCAAATGAAAGGCGATAAGTCTGTAGGAAATTATTCGATTTCCAGAGCTTACGGTGCGTCACGGGGTCTTTCCCGATTTGGGTTTCAGATCGTCCAGATGTCACGCTGATCTCAAACCACTCCAAAACTCTCCCCAAAAAAAGGGAAAAAATTCTGGAAGTTATTCCTGGACCTCGGGAGGATGGAAAGAAAGATGTTGAAAGCGATAAATAAAATAAAATAAAAGATTCTGCCCCTGAGAGACTTGAACTCTCGATCTCACGATTACGTAATTGAAACGTGACGGACGTCACAAACATAACAGTCGTGCGCCTTAACCAACTGGGCCAAGGGGCAGTCGAAAAGTGGCCTGAGAGAGACGTTACAACAGTCTTGGGGACGGAAAGCTCTGTAATTTAATTTTTATTATTTAACAACTTAACAATTCGATATCCGTCTATGTACGTAGTACTCAGGGACTAGCAAAAATTTTCAATTTGAAGATTTGTTCTCCATAATAATAAGTATATGTATGTACTCGCATACTAAAAGCGGCGTCTGCCGTGCCACGCCCTCTCTCCGCTAAGTCCTTCACATACCCGAGTAATACGCCGTCCACCGATTTCTCACCCGTCTCGCCTTGACCGGGTGCTTCATCCCGTCATATAAAAGGGTTTACGAGACCCGGCTCAGCGCTCTTTGCTTACACGGCTCCGAGTCGGTGGCTCGGGACGCCGTGCTCATGCAGACGTTTCAACTGTGTCGTACCCTTACTTGTGCCTCTTTGCTTCGATACACACTCGCCATTACTGTTATCAAGACCGCTTCATTTAATTTTGCCACTGCTCATGCAACCCACAGACTTGTGATGATACAATTTGATACGATCGAGGCAGCGGAATACGAAATATTTTGGTAGAGGTAGGTAGGTCCATCATGCAGGGTGACACGGCCCCATGGCATTACAAGCCGATTTCTGTGAGTGTAAGGATAACTATTCATACCAGTGCTCACCGCAATCCTAGGCTGGTATAAGAGACCTGGCAGAGGAAATCAGGACCTCCTTCTTTGCGTTGCCCTCCTAATCGATCCCACGGCGGACGCTATTCTGAGCCTCTTGTGAGACAAATCCCGGTGGACGGTACTGAGATGAAGTCTTTTTTTTCACAGCTGCTCTAGGACGTTTCCACCTCACTAAGGACCGAAAAATTGGTACGAGGTTGGCATGTCCAAGTTTGTACGAGTTGATCCTAGGAGCAGAGAGGTAGTCTCGATCCTATACCGCCTCTTGCGCTCAAAGGTTGAGATGTCAATAGGTGCTGCCAGTGCGCAAAAATATTTCTTACCTGAAACAATCCGACTGTTTTTATAGACGCGTTGGCGCTTGAGACAGTAGTGTTGTCCTTGAGGCATGCAGCGGTTCAGCACGCACCCATACCCGCCTTTACCTTTTTGTCAAGTTGCACGCTAGGGCAAAGCCTGACTAGACGCCTTTTCTTCAACACTTTCAATGGCAACCATGGCTCCGACCACACCCTTCTTTACGATTCGCCTTCACCCAGTGAAATTAGGCGACACTAGGAGAATTCCGGGAGGTCGTTGATGCTAGTCTTGGCAGACAACTCGACGTCCCCCGCCTCATCTTTGAAGATAAGTGGCTCGTAGAAATGATTCCCAACGGCAGATGCTGTAACTATACCTTTCGCCAGTTTGACAACGGTTGCAATTATGTATCCCAATCACGGGGTCCTCCAGTTGTACAGCATATTTCGATGCGGAGTTTAAGAGCATCGGCCACCATAACGGTTTCACCTTCTCGAACCATTAATTTCCAAATTCGGACAAAAGCGTTGTTTGTTCATGTGTTGATCAAAGCTGCTGGGTGAAGCGTTACAAACCTCCAACACCATTCATGGCAGCTCTAAGGCGGCGCGTGAAATCGTGGCTTAAATCCCACTATCACATACATGTACACCGACAGCGCCGCCAGGCAAGGAGAGTGCGCCGAGCATCCAAGGTTGTGACGTGGTCTTCTGCGTGAACAGAAGTATCACGGTGGTGGGTTTGGTTGGCAGTACCAAACCATAAGGACCATGACGAGAAATTAACAGGAACCATATATAGAAATACATCGACAAAGTAACCTGCAGAAAGTTAGCACGAGTGGGGCAAAGGGAACGAGAGCACCTGCATCTTCTATGCGGCTCACCACACCCCAGCCGGTTGTGGGCTGCCCGGAGGCGGGCTGGAGATGGGTTGTGGAGCACTCCTGGCAGGGGCTGGCGGCGCTTCGTCTTCCTTTCTCCACTCAATCTTCTCCACGCGGACCTCTCCTTCTATCAGCTGATACACATAAGTCACCACTACGGGGCCTTGAATATCCATCAATGCAAACGATGGGGTCGGGTCGCTGAGACAACATTGTTAGCAGAACACGCCGCCGACGTAGTCGAGAGCATACCCGTTGAATGCGCCGGACCAAGCGCCAGTGGCGGACCCTGGGTTAACGAAGAATTTATTGTCATGCTCGCGGGCTTGGAAGCTGCGGAACACGTCAGACCAGCCAGAACAATAAGGGGGCTGTGTTATACGTGTGGGTGTGCCCAGATATAAGGACATCCACGTCCATCTGGCGTGCGATCGCGCTGAGTGAGTCCAGGTCGCCTACGGGGACGCTCTGGTGGCCGTGAATGACACCAATTTTGATGGGAGTGTGGACGACAGTAATAGAGGACGGAAAGGTTGTGCTCTGGAGGGTGTTCTAAGGACAGTCCACCGAAGGCGCAAGGCCGCGCACCTCATCGTAGTCCCCTTTGACCACATTCACGTCGGGTGAAATTGTACGCAGGTACTCGTAGGTCTCCTTGTCGCATACGTTTCCGGTGCATAGAATCTGCTGTATTTTGCCTGGAACTAGGAGTTTCTTGAACTTGGAGGGGAGATCATGGGTCCTGTGTGGGATGTGCAAGTCGCCTATTATTAAGACCAAAACCATGGTAGTAAGCCGCCAAAAATCCGACGGTGCTTAGAGGCAGATTCCTGGACAAGGATTCAGAGTGAGCGAGTGAATGGCACTTGATCATGGCTGTAGCCAAACAAGAGCAACACTGCTCAATCAATTATACCCATGAACGCTGCAAAATATTCGACCCTCCCTGACATAGCGCGTCGTCTCTTTCTATTTGATTGAAGGCTGACTTGTATCCTAGGATACGGCCCAGGACGTCTACGAGACAGAAGACCCTTTTCCTTCCGCTCTACATGCAAGTCAAAATAACGAGACGATAACTTTAGCTGCCATTCACACAATTCTTCTAGAAAGCCGACGCGAGCAGCGACGACGAGAATGCACCTTCACGCTCAGCAGTAAGGGGCGCTCGAGCAGCCGACGTCGGCGCTTCGAAGGATGAGCTGGACTCGACAAACCTCATGCAACACGATGAAGCGAGCAAAAAGTTCAGAAAGGCAGAGAGGCGTCGAGGTCGAGTTCCCCGAGTTTTTCTATGATTATATGCCCTGAACGTGTCGTTGAAGATCGCCCTCGGACACATTACGCATACCCTCCGTCCCCAACCGATCCCACTTCACCGGTTGAGCCCTCCACTTCGCGCCCCGTACCACTTTCGCAACGTCTGCGCGCGTTACAGGCAGAAATCACGTCTTTGGAGACGGAATTGTCTGATCCCGCCAATCCGCTATTGTACAAAGAACGGGAAGAAGATACTGTGGACCCCGGCGAGCTCATACGTGGCCTGGTGGACGTCCGTGGCAGGCTAGATAAAATTCGCAAGGATAAAGAAGGCCGAGGTCGATTGGTGGGTGTAATTCTGGGCCAAGACGGCGAGAAAGCGCCCAATCTGAAACAAGATAAACCCGCGCCTACCCCTCCTGCATGAGGAGGCTGGAAAGCCGAATGTTCGCAGTATCGTGGAAATGGACAGGCGGGTTGGAGAGCTCGAGAAGCTGGTCGGATCGTCCACAGCTGCTCTTGACGAGGCGCGTATCTTCGTGGTTCTTTTTGGATGCAACTGCTGACGCACACACGACCTACAGTCCTCACCATTACCGCCCCCATTGCTACCCCTCGTTACGCGTCTCAACTCGCAGTTAACCCTGTTGACCCAGCCTCGACATATCGACTCCATCTCCCGACGACTGAAGCTACTGCTGTCCGATTTGGACCGTGCATCTGCTTCACAGCACCACTCGCATCGTCGGCATCCTTCCCAGTCCAATAACGGCCCGCCTTCTCAAATACAAGAACAACTCTTACCTTTGCTTTCACGGCTCGGCCCATCGCTTCCCCACATCCCTCATATTCTTACTCGCTTGCGGACATTATCTGCACTACATACCTCTGCAGGCCAATTTGAAAGCACTATGGACGGGCTGGAAGAGGAGCAGCGCAAGATGAAGGAGGCGCTGGGTGAACTCGAAGGCGCCGTCGCTACAGTCGAGAAGAGTCTGGAGGAGAACAGGGGTGTAGTGAAGGGCAACGTCGGTGGCCTTGAGAGCAGGGTTGATACTCTCCTCAAGCGAGTGGAACAACTCAATCGGTCGTCATAGACTTGTTACATGCAGGACTGGGTGTTGGGCTTATTAATGACACATTTTACAGACTACGCCCGTGCTTCAGCTACAGAGCACCGTGCTCCTTCAAATACTCGCGTGCATGTTCTTTGGCTTCGTCAGAGACGCGAGGATCTGCGGCGGCGTGAGCTACGAAAGCAACAATATAAGGAACCCCTGACTATGAAGCGCCGCCTTGTATCCCGCGAGCACGCGCACTTGATGTTCATCTGTTTCTTCGGTCGATTCCGAGTATGTTTCTCCCGCTGCCTCGAGGATCTCGCGGGCGTGTGTTTTTTGCTTTTTCCGAGGTCGATTCATCTGGTGTAAAACATATGAGCTGGAGAAATGACGAAACGAAAAAAGAAACCAACTGCTCAATGTGGATTTATATCCCGCTGGAGTCCAAGGTCAGACCTCGCGACGACGTTCAAGAGGTATTACTCACCGAGTTCACGGTCGGTGAGGTCGGTGGCGGGTTTCTCGTGATCAGCAACGTCGCCCATTTCCCTCAATCGCTCTTCAGCTCGCTCCTTTGCCTCTTGAGAAACATTCTCCCTGGCCAGGGTGGATTTGAGGCCTGCAGCGACGCGTGCTGGGTTTTTGGTTTGTTCAGAAGACATGGCAGTGGTAATTCGAGTTGAGATGCATATGGGTCCGGCTTGCGCTTATATACTCGGTTTTCAATGACTTCATTGGAGCACTGACGAAATTTTTGTATCATTATTCTTTGTATGAGTATAATAGACTTACCTCGAGGTCGGCAACGTTGTGGTATCACCAATTCG